GAGAATGCACCCTCCCCATTGGCTGGCCCCCCTTCCTCCTTCGCTCCCCAGCCCTCCCTCCCGTCCTTGAATAGAGGCACGTGGGGCAAAGCGAGTTTGTGTGTCGGAGGGCGAGACCGGAGATCATCGGGAGGCAGGGGCGTCGCACACGCTCCCCCCCCCCCTTTCCTGGCTGGCCCACAACACACACACCCCGGTCACTCGGGAGACCAGCGTCGGGAAGAGAACCCCGGCGTCCGAGGCTCTCTCTGCGAAGAATTCCCATCTGCAAATGAGTCCCCCCCCCCCCGCCCGCTAAGCTTTGCGTAAACTTGGGACGAACTTTCCCCCCACCAGTGTTCTGTCTAAGCTGAGTGAGTGTGAGCCAGCTCACAGTTTTTTTAGCTTCTGGCTCACACATTTTTGTCTTAGCTCAGGAAGGAGGGCTCCAGAGCGATGTTCCCTCTAAGCTGAGTTCGTGTGAGCTAGCTCACAGTTTTTTTAGCCTCCAGCTCGCCCATATTTGTCTTAGCTCAGGAAGGAGGGGTCCAGAGCAAACTAAATGATGCAGCAGCCAAATCGCTCACGCACAACTCTAAGGCCAGCAGCTCGCAAAGGAGAATTTTTGCTCACAAGGCTCCACAGCTTAGAGAGAACATTGCTCCAGAGCCAACTAATTTATGCAGTAGCCAAATGGCTCGCTCACCACTTTAATGCCAGACGCTCACAAAGTAGAATTTTTGCTCACAAGACTTCACAGCTTAGAGGGAACACTGCCCCCCCCACCCCCACCCCAAGTTTCTAAACGCTGATGAAAACCCAGCGAGCAGAGCTTTCAGGATGCCTTCTTGCGAACCTGTTTAGGGTTGCAACCAGTGCCCCCTCTAAGATGTGGAGTCTTGTGAGCAAAAATTCTACTTTGGGAGCTACTGGCATTAAAGTGGTGAGCGAGCCATTTGGCTACTGCATACATTAGTTTGCTCTGGAGCCCTCCTGGCTGAGCTAAGACAAAAATGCGTGAGCCGGAGGCTAAAAAAACTGAGTCAGCTCACACTAACTCAGCTTAGAGGGAACACTGGTTGCAACTTGCCAGGTCTGGGTTGGAAAATACCTGGAGACCTTGGGGGTGGATCCAGGAGAAGGTGGGATTTGGGGAGGGGCGGGTCCTCAGCGTGGTACCATGCCATAGAGTCCACCCTTCAAAGCAGCCATCTTCTCGAGGGGAGCTAATCTCTTGTCAGATGGAGATCAGTTGTAAAAACGGGAGATCCCCAGGCCCCACCTGGAGGCTGGCAACCCTAAACCTGTGGGTCGAGCAGCCCCAAAAGTGGGTGGAGGAGCAGCCCCCCCCCCCGACCAGCTCTGCCCTTTTCTATTGCTCCTCTTTTGTATTTTGGAAACCAAGATCTGACCCCGGAAACCGTCTCTTCCCTGCAATTCATTCATGAGCATTTGCTTATCCATGTTGACCAAGTAAAAGTGTCCTTGATGGTTACTTAGAGCGAGTTTCTTAAGCTCTTTGGAGGAAGAAAGAGGAGGTGAACAGAGGCTGGAGTCTAACCTCCATCAGCAAAGACTGTGTAGGAGTTGGAGTGCCAGACGCAATGTTCATTGGTTTCTCAAAAGCAATTCAGGGTAGTGACTGTAAAAAACTGAATGCTGAACCAAAGGGGTGCAAAGGTCATAGTTTGCCTAGGGTGCCAAAAAGCAAAAACAAAAAAAACCTTGGCCAGTCTTGGATGAGTCACCATACCAAGTAAATTTGGCCTCGTGGGTCACCGTACTGAAAAAGACTGAGGACAGCAGCCCTACTGCATTTACCTGAGGGTAGACCCCAGAGGAGGGGTGTCAAACTCATTTGTGATGAGGGCCGGATCCGACATAAATGAGACCTTGTTGGGCCAGGCCACGTGTGTCATAAAACATAATGCCAGTTAGCAGAGATATAAACTTTATAAAGGACACAAACGGGTTTTTTTACTTAAAATAAAAGCATGCGTAAAACATTAGCACTCTTGCAATATTTTGTTTATTTAACAGTGATAACTGACACCTCTTGCTCTAAATGATTGCATCAAAATGTCTGTGCTGTTGCAATCTTGAGTATGCTGATCAGGTGTGTCATCCGTAAACTGCAAACCTACGATGACGCAGCAGCAGAACTGGAAGAAGCAGCAGAAGACAGCCAGTTCCACTGCGGGCCCGATAGAAGCACTCCGGGGGCCCGATCCGGCATGTTTGACACCCGTGCCCCAGTCCGACATACCTGAGGGACCGCCTTTCCCCATATAGACCCCAAAGAGCACTTCGGTCGGGGTCACAGCACCGTTTAGTGACCCCGGGCCCAAAAGAGGCTAGGCTAGCTACCACAAGGGCCAGGTCCTTTTCGGTGGCGGCCCCTATCTGGTGGAATGAGCTCCCAGAGGAGATCAGGGCTCTGCGGGACCTTTTACAGTTCCGCAGAGCCTGTAAGACGGAGCTCTTCCGCCAGGCTTTTGAATAGGGGCCGCCGCCGCCACTACCACCACCGCATGTATGCGGAAGCAGGACTGTCAGGGTAGGCCTATGAGAAAGTGGAACAACATGGCTTAGGCCGCCCCTCTCCCTTCTGATTTCAATCTTGGACCTCTTCCTGTCATGTAATGGAGAAAGTGTAAGTTTAGTCCTCCATGTATCTTGTGAGTTGTGAATTGTTTAACTTATGTTGTTTTTAATGTATTTGGTTTTATAGCACTTGTGCCTTGTAAGCCGCCCTGAGCCTGCATGCGGGGAGGGTGGGGTAGAAATGGAATTAAATAAATAAATAATAAATAAATAGTCTGTTGCAACAGCAGATCTATCTGACAATGTGGGCCGTAACCCACAAAAGCTTATATTGAAATAAACGTTAGCACTTAAGCTATCACTGCATTTTTGTTCTATCAATACAGACTGAGAGAACAACAAAAACCTACAGTCCTGAATGCCATTAACACAACTTTTAACAGCTTTCCACTTCTAGGATTCCTTCCATTGCTAGACAGAAGGTGCTTGGCTTCATCATACCAAAGAGGGCAGGATGGGAATGCAGTAGTTTGATTAGAACTGCTGCCTCGTTCTTTAAAACAAGCCAACAGCAGTAGAGAAATCAAGGGACCGTTCCTGTGATGCAGAATAAAGTATGCAGTTCCCATGTGGAGGGGGATGTACCGCTTTATGCTGCATGTTGTAAGACTGATAAAGATAGAATTCCCTATCCAAAACTTCCTATACGTAAGGAACTGGGGTGGTGGTGGTACTGGCTAGCTTTTCCCCAATAATCTAGGGTGTTTAACGTAGTGGAGAATTTATCATATGAGCCTCTGTACATAAAACGGTACCGTCCAGGCACAAGTTTGCCTCCTTCCTTGAGAACCGGTGGTGGAAAGTGCCACCAAGTTGCAGCGGATTTATGGTGACCCCCGTAGGGTTTTTCTAGGCAAGAGACATTGATAGGTGGTTTGCCATTGCCTGCCTCTGTATAGCAACCCTTGACTTCCTTGTTGGTCTCCCATCTAGGGCCAACCCTGGGTGCAATCACATGCAGAATGAGGTGCTCCATAGGCACAAATGCTGGGCGGATTTTAAGGGCGCTGTAATGTAGCCAGTCCTGACAAGTCTGGACAAGTCCAGAGACAAACGTCGAGCTTCGCTCCAAGAGACAATGGACTATGCGGATCCTAGCCCGCTCCGATCAGGGGGCTGGGGTCCTGGCCGAGAGCCAATGGGACTCTTGGCCACTGTAAATAACCAATTGGGAAGTGGGGGGGTGTTTTGGGTGGCGGTTTCTCGGGGAATATAAGCTGGCCTGCGAGCCGCCCAAAGTCGTCTTGTTCCTGATCGAATAAAGTACGCTTTGCTGGAATCACTCTCCGTCTGTGTACTTTTCAGGCGCGATCAGACGCCAACATCTGCCAAGCGTCCTGTTCCCGTCGGCAACCCATTTTGTTCCGCTGCAGAAGCAGAGTAAAAAGACACCAGGGAAAACCCAGTCGCAAATGGGCTTGCTACGGGCCAGGAACGGACTTTCCCCAGTGCGATCGCGCCAGCGCGCTTCCATGGCGTCGGGATGGTCTGATCGGGCCATCCCGACCCCATGTCGTTTTCCCCCCTGTTTCGGTATGCGCATCATCGCACACTGCATAGGGAGCACTCGGTGCAGAGATGCGAATCATCGATCCCTCGTTGAAGCGCACCGGAAATATGCGGCAAAAAAAAAAATCCCAACTCTCCCATGGTTGCATCTAATCATGCAGTGACGGGCTGCCCCTGCAGCTCCCCGGCACTGTGTGATTGCGCAAAACGGGGCCAAATTCCTGCGGAGCAAATAGCCTCGCTTCCCCGCCCCCCGCGCATTATCTCGCACATGTGAACACTGCCCCTGCTTAGCTTCCAAGATCTGAAGAGATCAGGCTAGCCTGGGCTATCCAGGTTAAGGACCTCTGACCAGTCGCATTGCTTATTGGAATCCCCCCTTCTTTGGCCCATTGAAAACGCAGAATAAACAAGAAAGTCCAATGGTATTTTATTTTGTTTTGACTAAGCAGTTATGCCTACCAACACGGCTACTCCACACACAGCCATCCCAAGGACTGGAAACCAGAACCTCACCGGTTCAGCTGCTCCTGAAAATAAATAAATAAAGGCTGTGGTATGCAACAAGCTCTGAAGCTCTGCACCGACAACTCCTGAGTTCCATTACTGAACGGGGAGGAGGGGCTTATTTTGGAGGTTTTATTTTACTTTGGAAAAGACCTCTATGGAGTTTGGTCTGAGCAAAGGAGGTATCAGAGGTCATTTCGGGGGGGATCGCGGGGGATCGCAGTTCCCCCGGGTGAGGTGCGGGGGGCGGGGCACATGACGAAGCCCTGCCCCCTGCTTCCGGCCCTCATTCAGCCAGGAGGAGGCAGGAGAAGAGGGAGGGTAAGTTGCTTCCTCCCTGCCTCTCCCCACCCCTGCCTGCCTGGGGCCAGGGAGGGCCTTCCTTCGCGGGGCTTCCTTGCACTCCCGCCGGCCTTGCAGGTCCACCGCCGGGCCCCTGATGTCAGGGGGTGTGGCATATGCTAATGAGTTATGCTAATGAGTTCCCCTAGCTCTTTTTCTACGAAACAACCCCTGGGAGGTATGGTTACTGTTTCATGGAAGTAGGAAATGTGGCAGGGTCCATTGGTGTGAACACACATGAAGCCGCCTTATACTGATTGAAGCCATTGGTCCATCACAGTCAGCACTGTCTACTCAAGCTGGCAATGATAACCTAGGGTCTTAGACTGAAGTCTTTCCCGTCACCTACCAGCTGGTTCATTTAACTGGAGATGCCAAGGATTGCACGTCAAGCAGATGTCCAACCACTGAGCACATATCACTACACAGGTACTAATCCTTACTGAAATAGCGCTATTCAGGACCGGAGGGGTGTTAAGGCCTCACCTGCCAAAACATGACTTGCCATCTGGAAGGAAACATAGCCATCCATGGATCTTCCCCGCCGGTAAGCCGCAAGAGGGTCTGCCAGAGGAAAGCGGTGAAGTTGATTTAAAACATAATGCACAGTCACTTCTCTACATCTTTGAGAAAGTTGGCCTTCATACTCCAATGTTAGATTTGTGTGCTGGTTACAATGTCAGACTAGGATCCAGGCTCAAATCCCCCACACCCACCAAGATGCTTGCCTGGTGACCCTCAAAGATCACGTGTCGTGTGTGTCCTTCATGGTTGGTCTTAACATAAGAACATAAGAGACACCAATGTTGGATCAGGCCCAAGGCCCATCCAGTCCAACACTCTGTGTCACACAGTGGCCAGAAATACCAGGTGCCATCAGGAGGTCCACCAGTGGGGCCAGGACATTAGAAGCCATCCCACTGTTGACCCCCCCCCCACCAAGCACCAAGAAGACAGAGCATCACTTGCCCCAGAGCCCCTATCTATACCTTGTGGCTAATAGCCCCTGATGGACCTCTGCTCCATATGCTTATCTAATTCCCTTTTGAAGCCGTCCATGCTTGTAGCCGCCACTTCCTGTGGCAGTGAATTCCATGGGTTAATCACTCTTTGGGTGCAACGGGACTCAAACTTTGTTCTGCTGCTTCAGACCAACAGGACGACCCACCTGAAACTCATTCGAACAGATCCACTTTATGCATTAGCCCCAAGAGGAGGAGGGGAAAAACCCAGCAGCACCTGTGAAGGCACTAAGAGCCAAGGTTCGAGTCCAGTAGCCCCTCAGAGACCAACAAGATTTCCAGGGTATAAGTTTTCAGAAGTCAACGCTCCTTCTGTCAGATAAGGGGCCAGTCATCCCACATGTCTGACGAGATGCCTAGTTGCAGGATCTAGGAAGCGTTGGGATATTGTAACTCCGCATGTGAGAGGATCTGGGAGGGAAAGGATTAAGAGAATTCTCTGCTCGGGTACGCTTGGCAAGTTGGCCCCGCGCTCTCATCAGTTAGATGTTGAGCCTCTTTGGCTGTCGCTTGCCTTCTCTGTTCCATCTTAGATGGGACCTCTCTTCTTCCAGCTTGGTGTAGTGGTTAAGTGTGTGGACTCTAATCTGGGAGAACCGGGTTTGATTCCCCACTCCTTCGCTTGCACCTGCTGGATGACCTTGGGCAAGCCGTAATTCTGATAAGAGCTGTCCTTGAAAAAGAGCAGTTTCCGTCAAGAGCTCTCTCAGCCCCACCTACCTCACGGGGTGTCTGTGGTGGGGAGGGGGAGGGAAAGGAGTTTGTAAGCCGCTCTGGGACTCCCTTTGGTAGTGAAGGGCGGGGTATAAATCCAACCTCTTCTCTTCTTCTTCTCTCTTGCCTGGGGTTGAAGCTGTAGCAAGTTAACCTTTTTTGGAAGTTAATCTGTTCGCAGTCAGTTAAATGTACCTACACGAATATGTCGTGTAAGATGTGGTTCTACTTTTGTAAGTAGAATTTCTTTCTCTCATTACCGTTGGAGTCGGACCCTCTTTGTAATTTGTTTGAACAGCATTTTCGCCTTAACTGGAAAAGGAGGAGAATCAGGGATACTGCGAAAATATTTCTGTGCTTCCATGGCAAATGATATATTTTACATTTAACCCAACAGATGAGATGCCTAGTTGCAGGATCTAGGAAGGGCCTGTGGTGTGTGCCATCTCTTACCTCTGGCCCCAAGGGCAAAGGGCACCGGTGTAACCACGCCCCCCAGGAGTTGTTGAGCCCACACTCTGAGTGTCTCATTTAGGGGGTAACGGCAGCGCAGCGTCAGGCTGGAAGAAAAGAAAACACATGCACATCTGAACACATCTGTTCTACTGAGCACCGAACCATACACAAACCTATGCATTTTAGGTCCCTCCTTGCAGCTTTGCCACCTGTTGGCTCTGCCAGGTAGCCTCGTATCTCCATCAAATCAAGAGCCTTTGGACTCCCTTTCCAACCATCATCAAGAATGGCACCCAACTGCTCAAGTTTTTTTACCCTCAGAGGGCATGAGCCAAGTTCTGAGATTGTTTTTATGTGGCCCGTTTGTCTTAAGTTTTTCTTATTAGGTTTGTGAAGACTGCATTTCAAATAGGTCCACTCAGAGGTCGATTCGGGGGGGGGGGGGGTCGCGGTTCCCCCGGGGGGGGGGGGGGGCACACAATGAAGCCCTGCCCCCTGCTTCCGGCCGCCCCGCTTCCAGCCCTCATTCAGCCAGGAGGAGGCAGGAGAAGAGGGAGGGTAAGTTGCTTCCTCCCCGCCTCTCCCCACCCCTGCCTGCCTGGGGCCAGGGAGGGCCTTGGCAGGGCTTCCTCGCACTCCCTCCGGCCTTGCAGGTCCACCGCCGGCCTTTATGATGTCAGGGGGTGCGGCATATGCTAATGAGTTATGCTAATGAGTTCCCCTAGCTCTTTTTCTATGAAACGACCCCTGGGTCCACTGCTACCAGCCTTAGGCATAGGGGAAACCAGGCATATGTAAAGACTGGCTGTTTTAGATAGTGCTCATCTTTTGACGCTTACCTATATTGGGAGTCCCTGGTGATAACTGGCTTTGCTTCCGGAATCAGTTCTCGCTTGAAGGTCACTTCATTCTCATACACCAAATAATTTCCTTCAAACTGGAAGACGAAGACAGAAATAAGTTCTATATTTGGCTCTGTGGCTGGCTACCGAGGGAGCCAAGTCCAGAACATGCATAAATCTGCTTTATACCGAGTCAGACCAAAGGTCAATACTGTCTACAGGCTGACCCCATTGGAGTGAGCGACTTCGCATGCCTGGACATTGGAGGGCACTACGTCACTCTAAGTGTTGTTGTTGTTGTTCAGTCGCACAGTCGAGTCCGACTCTTCGCGACCCCATGGACCAGATCACGACAGGCCTTCCGGTCTTCCGCCAATGTCACAATCCCACAGCGTTCAATCGAATACACGTTTGAGGCAAAGTAATATTTTATTGAAGCTATAAAGATACTGGAACACGTAGACTGTTTGGCATAACCAAAAGGGTCAGGGCACAGAATAATAAAGCAGATTCGTAATTGCAATAACCAATGAACTTGGTTCCCGCTTGCACGGGTTAGTTAAAACTCGCGCCTAAAGCCTGAGAATCAACTGCTCTTAAAAGATAAACAATTAATTACTTCTCACACTCTACTTCATTATAGACTAAGCGCAGACAAAGCGGCTCCAACTTCGCACCTGTGACCTTGCTGATAACTATAGTTCAAAGCAACACTAGCGTTCATAGAAAGGAATGCAAGAGACAAGCAAATGAGCTCTTCATAATATTGGCAGGCATGCGCAGTTGGGTTTAGCTGGAAGAGACGGGGGAAACAAATTCGTGGCACAGACAGGGACTACAGAAATGCACAGAACTCTTTGGCAGCTTGCTGACAGCCGTCCTCTGAAGTTGGCTCAACTTCATGTTCGTTGCATCTATGACACTGTCTAACCATCTCATCCGTTGCCGTCCCCGTCTTCTTTGGCCTTCAATCTTTCCCAGCATCAGGGCCTTCTTCTCCAGTGAGTGCTCCCTTCTCATTGGGTGGCCAAAGTACCATTTGGGCTTCAGTTTCATTATCTGGCCTTCCAGGGAACAGTCAGGGTTGCGTATAGGTGTTATCTCCTTGAATGGGAAGCCTCTCTCTATCTTAACTTGGGAGCTTTCCTCTGACCCCTCCTTCTCTCCCTTTGTCCTCTCGCCTCACATGGCCTTCCACGGAGACAGATGTCTATGCAGTTCTCTCCCATAGATGCAATGCCCTCATACTCCCACACACAGGATGCCGGGCAAGCTTTAGATCAGGCTTCTTTAGATCAGGCTTCTTTCTTTTCTTTTGACTGGAACCTGTATGTGAACTGAATCTACCTGAATAAATGTGAGTTGACCTTTTTGCGATATACTTCTTGGGGAGACTTATTTTCCGCACTCAGTATCACGCTTCCATGACTGGGCAAAACTCTGGTATATTAGCCAAATATCCCAATACCCACCCCACCCCTCTTACACAGACTATGGCCCATTCCAAAAGGCTGTTAATGCACCCCTCCACAGTGTTCTGGGATCAAGGCTTCCATAAGGCCACTGTTTTAACTCCTGAACTTTTTAGTGTTCTGATTCACTTACATATTCAAGGGTGCAAAGCAGACTGAAGAATGGGTAACAAGACCGGGGGGGGGGTGTTTATTCCAAGCTGATATGAGCCATGGGGTTTGATGATACTGTTTATTGTGCCATTGATTGCTTTTACTGTTTAATGTTCTACTACGACTCTAGGGTTGCGGTGCTCATCTCCATTTCAAAGCCGAAGAGCCAGCGCTGTCCGAAGACGTTTCCGTGGTCATGTGGCCGGCATGACTAAACACCAAGGCGCACGGAACGCTGTTACCTTCCCACCGAAGTGGTACCTATTTATCTACTTGCAATTTCTTGCTTTCGAACTGCTAGGTTGGCAGGAGCTGGAACTAGAAACAGGAGCTCACTCCATCATATGGCACCCGGGTCTCGAACGGCTGAACCACTGACCTTCCAGAAGAGCACCGCAACCCTACAGTCGGATTCGACTGGCTTTCGAGCAAGGGAACCTTTACCTTTACCTTTTACATGTTGTAAGCTGTCCTGAGACCACGTGTGGGATAGGGTGGGGTATAAATTGAATGAATGAATGAATTAATTAATTAATTAATTAATGGAGAATAACTACATAAAATAGCTTTGAGTTGAGTAAACCTTTGGGACCAACAAGATTTTCAGGGTATAAACTTTCAAGAGCCAAACCTCCCTTCGTCAGATACTTGGTGAAAGGAATTTTAACTCTCGAAAGCTTATAGTCTGGAAATGTTGAAGAAGAAGGAGGAGGAGGAAATTGGATATATACCCTGCCCTTCACTTGGAGTCTCAGAGCAGTTTATAATTTCCTTTCCCTTCCCCCTCCCCACAACAGACACCCTGTGACGTAGGTGGGGCCAAGAGAGCTCTCTCGAGAACTGCCCTTGAGAGAACTTATGACTGACCCAAGGTCACACCAGCAGCTGCAGTTCTCCCAGATCAGAGTCTGCGCTCTTAACCACTACACCACACTGACTCTCATTGAATCCAGCTCTTCTAGTGCAGATCAACACAGCTATCCTCTGAAACCATATACACTAGCAGATGCCGTTCCTCAGTACCCTAGCACAGCAACTTAAGAAGTGCCCAAGGACCTGCAGCCACATAGAACCTGTAGCCACACAGGCAGTGCCTGGCAAATTAACTCCATCCTCGGGTTGGAAGCCATCCCCTTCAGCCACCGTATATCTCAACCCCTTCTGCTCTCCCCAGAACGCTTTGCAAAATAATCCTACCAACCCTTCGCGTTGTGCCACAGGTGGCGACCGGGAACGAGAAGAGGGCCCTGGACTCATCGGCGGCCACCGGCCTGCAGTTCTCGTCGCGTAGGTGAGTTCTCCTGGGGTCCAAGGCGGGTTTGGTGTCCAGGCGGAGAACTGTGGCTGCCATCGTGCCGTTGGGGAAACACACTGAGCCCCAAATGACAGCACATTAATTCAAAGTTATATGGAAGCACGATGCTGCCTCACGCGGCCAGACAGTCTGTCCGTCCACCTTCGTATTGCTCTCTAACGGCTATGGAAGCCACCCGCCTAACGTAGCGGAGTTCCTTTGTCTTCCCATCACAACCTCATACGCTTACACAATGAGAGTTTTAAACAGGGCTCTTTTTGTAGAAAAAGCCCAGCAGGAACTCGTTAGCATAATAGGCCACACCCAACAGCAGGAACTCATTAGCATATTAGGCCACACCCCTGACAGCACAGCTCATTAGCACATTAGGCCACGCCCTCATTTTACCAGAAGTGTGGTCATCCAGCCACACCCACCTTTTGCCTCTTATTCTGTTTACCTTGTTTGTTGTCAAACCCCAGGGCCTTTTTTTGTAGCAGGAACTCATTTGCATGTTAGGCCACACACCCCTAATGTAGCCAATCCTAATGAGTTTCCGCTGTTGGGTGTGGCCTGTTATGCTAATGAGTTCCTGCTGGGCGTGGCCAACTTGGGAGCCAGCCGGAAATCCGTTCCTGTGCGTTCCTGCCCAAAAATAGCCCCGGTTTTAAAAGCATTGGTCCCTCCTAGCCTTACAGTTTATTGGGAGCCCTGTTCAAAGCCAAGACCTAGAACACTCCCACCTCACCCACTCCCACCTCACTGGTGTGATGGAAACTTCAAGGGGAGATATGCCCTCAAATGTCAGCAGTGCCCTTCAACTCACTATATCAGACTAACAGGTCAGTCTTTTACGCAAAAGAATAAATGGACATAAATCTGATATTAAAAATCACAACAGAATCCAATGGGAGAACATTTTAATTGTCCAGGACATTCATTTGCTGACCTTGGAGTGGCTGTCCTCGAACACAGAAGCTTCAAGGGGAGAGTACAATGAGAGACTGCTGAACCTAATTCACAAATTCAGAACAATGCCCCCCAGGACTGAATAGGGATATAGGATTCTTGTCTCACTGCAGATGCTAATTATTTGCCTTCAGACATCTCTCCCCTACTCTAGTCAAGCAAATTACAATGTGCATTGTACCTCTGCATCCTGACTCCTTTCTTTGAAACAACCCACCCAACTTCAAACTGGGATATAAGTTCTTAGGGATCCTCATTCCCACTAGGATCTGACAAAGGGAGCTAAGACTCTCAAAAGCCCATACCCCCCCTCCAAACCTTGTTGGACGTAAAGGTACTATCAGACTTGAATCTAGCTGTCTTACTGAAGACCAACATGGCTGTCCCCTGAAACTAGTGCCCCTGTGAGAACGTCTCCCCTATGATGACAAAACTACAGTCGCCAGAATCACACTCACCAAGGAGTTTCCCAGTAGGGAAGATGCAAGAAACTGGGAAGATCACTATGGCTGCTAGAGTCTTGTTATCCCTCAGATTGAAGTCTAGCCGGGCAGTCAGGCCTTGAAGGGAGATATCCTGTACAATATACAGTCAGGTGCATTTGGTAAGCTACTGCAAAAAGAGTGTTCTCAACACAAGGCCAAAACACCTGCAGACACACACACACCCCAGCCCGTGCCTACCTCATATGCCAAGCCAGCTGCCAGGAGGGGGACAGATAAGTAGAAGCGGCTGCCATCATCCTGCACAGTGTAGTTCTGGGACGCAGCGAACTCGGCTGTCAAGCGCAGATTCCCAACGTACGGGACCCAGTAGCGATCCAGATTGCCATGGGTCATCACAAGACTGATCCTTCGCTCCTCACAGAAGCCCACAACTGTTGGAAGGACTGATGGCATTGAGAGCAAGGAGAAAGCATTAGGACAGGGGCGTTGAACTCATTTGTTATGAGGGCCAGTTCTGACATAGATGAGACCTTGCTGGGCTGGGCTGGGCCATGTGTGTCATGAAATGTAATGCCAGGTAGCAGAGATATAAAATTTATAAAGGACACAAACACAAAGGGTTTTTTTTTACTTAAAATAAAAAAAGCTGCTTAACACATTAGCACTCTTGCAATATTTTGTTTATTTAACAATGTCTGATAACTGACACCCCTTGCTCTGAATTATTGCATCAAAATGTCTGTGCTGTTGCAATCTTGAGTATGCTGTTCAGGTGTGTATCTGTAAGCTGCAAACCTACCATGACGCAGCAGCAGCAGAACTGGAAGAAGCAGCAGAAGACAGCCAGTTCCACTACGGGCCTGATAGAAGCCCTCCGGGGGCCTGACCCGGCCCCCGGGCTGCACGTTTGACACCCCTGCATTAGGAGAAAGTCATGCTCCGGGTTTTGAAGCCATATATAAATCCTAAAGTTCTTGGCAAGACATTACAGGAAAAGTATCTTTGCAAAGCTGCTACAAGCTTTTTCTTTCTTTTCTTTTTTTTGCAAGAAGTAACCACTTTTTTCATAAAGGACTATTACAGTTATGATTTTAATTTTAACAGGCTGAAGAACACCTGGATAAACATATGGAGCAGAGGTTCATCAGTGGCTATGAGCTAGTAGCCACAAGGTATAGATGGAACACTCGGTCTGGGACAGTGATGGTCTGTATTCTTGGTGCTGGGGGGGGCACAGTGGGAGGGCTTCTGGAGTTCTTCTGGCCTCGCTGGTGGACCTCCTGATGGCACCTGGGTTTTGGCCACTGCGTGACACAGAGTGTTGGACTGGATGGGCCACTGGCCTGATCCAGTATGGCTTTCTCTTATGTCCTTATGTTGCTTTGACCTGGATTGCACAGGCTAGCCCGATCTCATCAGATCTTGGAGCTAAGAGGCCACAGGTATGAAGAAGAATAGGTATGAAGACCACCTGTTGCTCTGACCTGGATAGCCCAGGCTAGCCTGATCTCATCAGACCTCAGAAGCTAAGCAGGTTGTTGTTGTTGTTCAGTCGCACAGTCGTGTCCGACTCTTCGCGACCCCATGGACCAGATCACGCCAGGCCTTCCTGTCTTCCGCCGTCCTCTGAAGTTGGCTCAACTTCATGTTCATTGCATCTATGACACTAGCTAACCATCTCATCCTTTGCCGTCCCCGTCTTCTTTGACCTTCAATCTTTCCCAGCATCAGGGTCTTCTCCAGTGAGTGCTCCCTTCTCATTGGGTGGCCAAAGTATTTGAGCTTCAGTTTCATTCTCTGGCCTTCCAGGGAACAGTCAGGGTTGATTTCTTTTAGGATTCACTGATTTGATCTTCTTGCAGTCCAAGGGGCTCTCAAGAGTATTCTCCAGTGAGGGCTCCCTTCTCATTTGGTTGGCCCCAGTTAATACTTGGATGGGGAGACCAAGGAAGTCCAGGTGGCTACGCAAAGCCTGTGAACGTCTCTTGCCTTGGAAGTCCTATGGGGTTGACATAAGTCAACTGTGATTTGATGGCATGTTTCACTACCATATCCCTCTGTTAATTGCATTCTAAAAAACATCGGTCCCTTTCTGCCAGCGCAGCTGTTCCAATTCAGCAGCTTTGCTGAAATCATATTTCTTCCTACAATACAAAATTCATATCAGAGATGTCCATATCCTGGAATGTTATGCTGTTCTTTTTATGTGTTTGTGGGAGTCCTCTGGATTTTAGGGGAGGTAGATCCATTATAGCATAAACACATTATAAAATCGGTACTGCAGCGTGCGATCCACGCACACACAAATGTTGATCCATCTGGCCTGCAGACTGCCACTTACCAGTCCCATGTCTAGCCCCAGCCAATAGATTTCAAGGATTCCAGAAAAGGCTAAATAAAAGGGTTGGACAAACAGGATTGTGTGCCAGGGCTCTTTTTGTAGAAAAAGCCCAGCAGGAACTCATTAGCATAATAGGCCACACCCAACAGCAGAAACTCATTAGCATGTTCAGCCACACCCCTGACAGCACAGCACATTAGCATATTAGGCCATACCCCTATGCCTTCCCTTGGCTTGCCCGGGTGCCCCGCGGCTGCAGGGAGCCTGGGCAAGCTGGCCCTTGGACAGGATGGGGAAGGCACGGGGAGGCATTTAAACGCCTCCCCGATCCTTCCAGGCCTTCCCTGTGTAGCCATGCACGCAGAGGTTTTGGCTGTAATGGGCGTGGCCAACTCTGAAGCCAGAATTCCTGCCCAAAAATAGCCCTGTGTGTGACACACATGTCCCCACCGCAGGACAGAGAACTGGATTCGGAGCCTCTCAGCACCCACAACCTGAGCTAAGGTTGCAAATCTTTGGGGGGGCCTGCAGATCTCCCAGAATGACAACTCCAGACGACAGAGATCAGTTCCCTGGAGAAACGGCTGCTTTGGAGGGCGGACTCTACGGCATTCTACCCCACTGAGGTCCCCTCCCTTCGCTTCCCTCGCCAGGCTCCACCCCCAAATCTCCAGGAATTTCCCAGCCTGCAGTTGGCAACGCCACTGAAGACTCACCAACATCAGGGACTTCACATTCAATGACGGCAGGGTAGATGAAAGGCTTGTTCTTGGGGATCAGGTTGAGCGTATAGACCAGCGGCAAGGTATATCTCCGGATGTTGTCATGCAGATACTGCAGGAGAGAAAACCTCAAGTCATGCAAAGTCCATACACGTCACGGAGAAAGCGGCATTTCCAGGACGGAATTTCAAATCTGCATAGCTGCTCAATATCCACCCCCCCCCTTTGGCCTGGGTCCAACCTACCTGAGGGACTGCCTTTCCCCGCATGTTTCCCCAAGAGCTCTACGGTCAGGGGCCCAAAATTTACTAGCTATCCCGGGCCCCAGGGATGTCAAACTGGCCACCACTAGGGCCAGGGCTTTTTCAGTGGCGGCTCCTACCTGGTGGAACGAGCTCCCGGGGGAGATCCGGGCCCTGCGGGATCTTATGCAGTTCCGCAAAGCCTGCAAGACAGAGCTCTTCCACCAGGCTTTTGAGTAGGAGCCGCCGCCCCCACTATATCACCATCGCTGTGGGTGGGAAGAGGCCCTGAGAAAAACACCTGAACCTGAACATGAATGGAGCCTTAAACCGTCTACCAGGAACTTCGGGCATACGTTCCGTCATCTTTGGACTCTGAAGACACTGAGCACTTTGTTAAATTAGGATTTTTTAAATATGTACTGTATGATTTTAAATTATATGTATATTGTGTTTTATCATGGCAAGGCTTCGTCTGGCCCCTGTAAGTCGCCCTGAGCCCACGGGGAGGGCGGGGTATAAATACGAAAAATAAAAAAATAATAAATAAATAAATTTGTTTAATATCCAGTTTGATAAGGAGTTCTGGATAGCTCAAAAGCTTGGATTCTTGCTGCGCATCATGTGGCTTCTGTTTTGGGCTTTTGCTTCGGAACCAGTGTGGCTACCCGTCCCCACCGGTCAGGATTAGAAGCCTTCTTCGTTTTCTTCACTTCTCTTCTAGAAGGACAAACAGCAACCTGGGGATGTAGCTCAGTGGTAGAGCACATGCTTTGCATGTATGAGGTCCTGGGTTCGATCCCCAGCATCTCCACTTTTGCCAGCACTTTCGACAGTTCTCCTGTTATTTGTCTGTTTAAGCACTGCTGCACATGAATTCATCCGTGAAGTAGTGGCTGACGGCAGTGCCCTCCCTGAGCAGATAATTAAACCGGAGGCTAGACAAGTTTACAAGGACAGATCTGTTGCTGGCCATTGGTCATGACAGCCGAATAGGAGTTCCAGGTTCACAGGCAGAATGCCTCCTATAATCCAGTGCAGAGGAAGAGTCACTGGGTGTGTGTTAGCAACAGGGTGCTGAGATAGTTAAGTTAAGTAGCCTTTAGGTAAAGGTAAAGGTCTCCCTTGCTCGAAAGTCAGTCGAGTCCGACTCTAGGGTTGCGGTGCTCATCTCCGTTTCAAAGCCGAAGAGCCAGCGCTGTCCGAAGACGTTTCCGTGGTCATGTGGCCGGCATGACTAAACACCAAGGCGCACAAAACGCTGTTACCTTCCCACCGAAGTGGTACCTATTTATCTACTTGCAATGTCTTGCTTTCGAACTGCTAGGTTGGCAGGAGCTGGAACTAGAGACGGGAGCTCACTCCGTCATGCGGCAACCCGGGTCTCAAACTGCTGAACTACTGACCTTCCACAGCCAGCAGTTCAGCGTCTTAACCACTTGAGCCGCCGCAGCTCCTCAAGTAGCCTTTATTGGCATAGAAAAAAACTGATACAAGTTAATATAGTTTAAAATGTAAGTTAAAACTACAACATACATATACATCTGTGTAAATATAGGATTCTTTCTGTGAAATCCCTTGGCATACCTTTATAGCAGAGTAAAGAAACTTAGCCACCTTCTCGGTGACATTAGAGGAGAAATCATTCAGGAGTCTACAGACCTTAAATGCATCAGAACAGTCCCTCAGCCTAAGTAGAACAGAATGTAAATGCATGTAACATAAATCTGTATACAGATGACAATACAGAAGAACATGAGTGATGAACTGAACACATTTTTGATTGCAAGGGCAGTATCTGGCTGAGTAGGCTCTCTTATTAAATCTGCCATAAAAATAGCAGAAGGCATGGCATTACATCTGGCAAGGGAAAATGCTCTGTGCTGCTGTGACACCTGCAAAGAGGACAGATATGGGGCCATTTCCCCAGTAATGAGGGGAATCTCAAAGTTCAGTGGGGAGCGGGTTTTGTTGGCCTGACTGAATAACTTCTGGCATTCAATGTCTAGCATTCTGTTTTTAATCTGATGAAATGCAGCGGTGAAAGTCAGCATTCTGTACATAAACCCATTGTTTTAATTTCCCCCTCAATCTATGCTGACCACTACTCTGAGGTGGAACTGCAGTGGCTCAAGTGGTTAAGACACTGAACTGCAGGCTGTGGAAGGTCGGTAGTTCAGCAGTTCAAGACCCGAGTCGCCGCATGACGGAGTGAGCTCCCGTCTCTAGTTCCAGCTCCTGCCAACCTAGCAGTTCGAAAGCAAGAAATTGCTTTTACCTTTACCTTTACTCTGAGGTAGCATGTCAATTCTTGCCTAGACAGAGGTTTAACACCCAGTTATGTAGACAACAACACAAGGAGGAACATTTGTCTGTTTTTTGTACAGTGCTTCAGAGTGTTGGTGAAGGATTTGGGAGACATTAAAATCCCCACTCCCATAGAAACTTGCTGCATGACCTTGGGCCAGTCACACACTCGGCCTTCCTCACAGGGCTGTCCTGAGGATAAAAGGAAGGCGGGAAGGACAACGTCATAAGCCACGTGGGGTCCCCATAGGAAAGAAAAGCAGGGTATGCGGTGGTGAAAAGAGCCATCACATTGTAGCTGACTTATGACTCCATATGGTTTTCAAGGCGAGAGATGAACAAAGGTGGTTTCGCCCTTGCGGGCTCTGCAGAGCAACCCTGGACTTCCTTGGGGATCTCCCATCACAAGTATTAACCCGGGCTGACCCTGCTTAGCTTCCAAGATCAGGCCAGGATATTAACAAACATAGGTGTTCCCAAATCGTTTGAAGACTTAAAAGAATGCAACATTTCAGTCTGAGAAACCATTCAGTTCAGGAGACCAGGGGTCATTTCCTGCAGGAGCACACAGGAGCAGAGCTCCGGCAGTAAAGAGCCCAGGGGGCGGGCACATGCAACAAGCCCCACCCCCTGCTCCCAGCAGCCCTCAGTCAGAGCAAGAAGCAGCCAGGTAAGTTGCAGAGCTGCCCCCGGCCCCCCGGTCCAAAACAGTCCAGTGGCACCTTTAAGACCAAGTTTTGTTCAGGTACAAGCTCTCCCTCCTCTGTGAAGACAGATCTGCACGTTCCCTCCACCCCCCAATAGCTAGCAATCCAAAACAGTCCAGTGGAGCCTGAGTGGTGGGTGTTGCCTTCTGACACACTTCCTGTGATGTCAGGGGGTGTGGCATATGCAAATTAGTTATGCTAATGAGCTCCGGCACCTCTTTTTCTATGAAATGACCCCTGCAAGAGACCCTTCTCTGAATGAGAGACTGCATATGGCAGGAAGCCTTTCTCCCCAGGCATGAGTGGAAGGTTCACTCTGCTGTAACCCCCAGGTGTTCAGATGTCACTCGTCTGAGCTACCTCCACACTCCACCGTTTACCTCTTGCGGTACCAGAGGATCGTCAAAAGGGACCATCAGATTGAAGGCCCTGGTGCCGTTGGGATTGGGAACTTCTGCCAGCTTGCCGCCATGGCTCTCAAGCTCTTCAGGAGTCAAGGGCTTGCCGCCGATGGCCACAGTCACCAGCTCCACATCGGGGAGGAAGTTGCCCAAGATGACCTCAAAGTAGCCTCTCTCTGGGACAGTGTCTGGAAAGGAGGAACCAAATGGTTGTTAGTTCAAATTCTCTCTCCTCTTCCCAGTTTAGCCTCTCTCTAGTTTGAATCTCCAGTCCTCTGACAGGTTAAGGTCTCTCTCTGTTTTCTTCAGTACCCCTTAGCTGACCTAACCTTCTTAGGAGGCAAGATTTCTCTCTCAACTGCCCAACTTTCTTAGGAACAGAAACTAAGCAATCACTGTGAATAAAAACTATTGTGCTTTATAATGAAGTTGCATTATGGATAGTCATTGACATGTTAAGTAGATAACAAAGATAACACAATTAACATGATCCTGGGATGTAAATTAAGAAAAGTCCCAGCCTTGTAATACTGCGGAGCAGCTTCTGAAATGAACTGACAAGCATCCAGATTAGGGCTGCCAGCTTCCAGCTGGGGCCTGGGGATCTCCTGCTTTTACAACTGATCTCCAGCTGACAGAGATCAGCTCCCCTGGAGAAAATGGCTGCTTGGAAGGGTGGGCCCTATGGCCTTGTACCCTGCTGAGGCCCCTCCCCTCCCCAAACCCCGCCCTCTCCCGGATCCACCCCCAAAGTCTCCAGGTATTTTCCATCCCAGACCTGGCAACCCTAATCCAGATGTTAAGCCCGTTTCGAGGTGAATTTTCCTAAGAAGATATTCTTAGTAAGTCGTCTTCTGTGGTTATTTCCCTATTATTTATAACTCTGCGTTTATATAGGAAGCAAGCCAATCCTTTAGTCTTTTCATAATGTGGTGCAAAGCCTTCTGTTCTAACATTACCCGCACAATGCTCATTATTTACAGTGATTGTTTAGTTTCTGTTCTTTTACACTGTGATCCCGGGTTGTTTGTCAACTCTCTTAGGAGGCATAATTTCCGCCTCAATTGCCCATCTGTATCTTTCTCTGTTTAGCACAACTTTTCCTTGCTATTTACACATTCCCCCCCCCCCCCCAGCAATCCCCTACTTTACTCACAACATTTGATAGGGCAATTTATTTTCAGTGCTAGACTCCTCACTGCCCACAAACTGCCAAACTTTAACCTCAGGAATTATTGTTTGGTTGTCTGACAAGCAGTATGAATCTCATTCAATCTCCTCTGTCTCGCAGAAAGGGGTACCTAGTGGTAGGGCCCAACTATGGCAGTTTCTTCTCCTCAAAGTGATACATGAGCTTAAGTATACCCCAGAAGCACTGAAAGGACTTTTAGGCTATCTCCCCTTTTCTACAGCCCTTGATTTTCCTTCTTCTGCATAGGATTTCTCACCTTACAGTGTGGCTTTCTAGCTCCATTCCTTCCATCACGAAACTTTGGGGGGCACACAGGGTGTCTCCCGTGTAGACACTAACCAGATTCACTTATTGTGGCTGCACAAGGTACACCCTAGCCATGCCATGGGACCCAGTCACCAGGGCACTTACCACTCCTACATGACAACTCCCTGTTGAAGGTTTGGATCCTTATGTCAAGTACATACCATGGTGCCCCCACCAAGTGTTTTTAGAAAGTGGGCATGGCCAGGTGAGGCTCTGCCCACCACTGCTTAAAATTATTCCTCTTGACCCCCTTCCTATGGGTGTGAGTTCCAGGCTCCCGCAGTGGCCATTTGTGTGGCTGTATCCATCACTGGATCAGAATTCAAAGGCGTCCACACAGCCTCAAAAATACCGGGGACTCCTGGACTAGCCGCTTGGCAGGATTGAACCTGCTCCCTCAGAGATTAATGGCTGGCTCATCAAGGGCACTGGACAGGCGGCCTTCAAAATTAGACATGCTTAGCACTCTGCACTGCCCATATTAAGACTGAAACTCAGGAGGTCAATGCAATGACCCAGGGCTTTTTTTGTAGAAAAAGCCCAGCAGGAACTCATTAGCATAATTGGCCACACCCAACAACAGAAATGTATTAGCATATTAAGCCACACCCCTGACAGCACAGGTCATTAGATTATGAGGCCACACCCCCATGTTACCAGAAGTGTGGTCATCCAGCCACACCCACCTTTCCCTTCTTATTCTGTTTACCTTGTTTGTTGTCAAAACCCAGGGCCTTTTTTTGTAGCAGGAACTCCTTTGCATGTTAGGCCACACCCCCCTAATGTAGCCAATCCTAATGAGTTTCTACTGTTGGGTGTGGCCTATTATGCTAATGAGTCCCTGCTGGGCGTGGCCAACTCAGGAGCCAGCCGGAATTCCGTTCCTGTGCGTTCCTGCCCAAAAATAGCCCTGCAATGACCTCTTCCTGAAGTCTTTGGGGAGAAAGAGGAGAGACAGACATGGGAGGTATCCAGGTGAGGCGTGCAAGGTGTGGGGTTCACTGCCTCCCGCTTTGTCCAGGGCCGTTTCTTCTTCCCTGCCCATACCCAGGGGTCAAGAAGACCCCAGTAAGCTTACTGTTGATGAGCACAGGCACGTGAGGGACAAAGGTCGTGCGGATGGTCTTCAGGCTGCGGTGGCGCGTCCGGTCACTCTCGTCTCCTTGCCACCTGCGGTCCAGCAGCAGCTTGATGCTGTACCTCGTGCCGTAGCTGCTGTCAATCACGTCGCTCTGCAAGCAGAAGAGGCAGCCGTGAGAGCATCCCGAGTGCGAGGGCGATGCAGGTGCCACCTCGAGACGGCCGCTAGGGGAGAGTCCATCCTCCTTCACCGCCTCCCTCCTCTGCACATCTGTTCTCCACCCAAGCTCCCCGGTTCTGGAAACTTGGGTTCAGGAGAGGGAGCGGGGAAGAGCACCCTGCTGCCCGCGGTTAACATCTGAGCATCCGCATTCTCCTTCCTGTCTCCAGGTATAAAGTGCAGGCAGCACCAGAGACTAGGGTTGCCAACTCCAGGTTGAGGAATTCCTGGAGATTTGAGGGTGGAACCAGGGGACGGGCCTCAGCAGGGTGCAATGCCATAAAGTCCACCCTCCAAAGCAGCCCTTTTCACCAGGGGAGCAGACTTCTCTCTGTAGTTTGGATATCAGCTGTAATTTCAGGAGAACTCCAGGCCCATCTGGAGAGGGGCAATCTTACCAGAAACAACCCTGGCTTGCAAGCTTTAGGAAGCTGGCCTACTGGGATCAGCCCTAGATGGTTATTTGTTGTATTTTTCTATTGTCTTAAGTCTCTCGGGGTCCCCTTGGGGAAAACAGAAACATACTAGCAAGTTCTAGCAAATCCCATAGCAAACATTTTATTTTATTTTTAATCCCTTCACCGGGGACCCAAAACAGCTTACACCGTTCTCTTTTCCTCCATTTCATCTCCACAACAACCCTGCAAGGTAGGTTAGGCTGAGAGCATGCGAATGGCCCAAGGTTACCCAGCAAGCCTCCCTGGCACAGGGGAAATAAAACTGGAATCTTTCACACCCTAATCCAAAATAACCACTGCACCAGGCTGACCATTTGTGTGGCTGAAATGGAAATGCTAACGTATATTAGACTGTCTGGGCTATGAAGATATTAAATCATATATATAGTCGACTTTCTCAGATCTGATTTGAGGCTGTTCACTTTAGCAACCGGGTATATGAGCCGATCCTGGGGGGCAAAGCCATGGGGTAGGGCAATTTGGCCTTTTCTGAAGTCTTAAGAGCTGTGTGCTTGGATACATGCAATGAGATAGTAATCTTGTTACAATTCTTTGTTTAAAGACAGTAACGAATCTGAAAGTCTACCATTGAGACTTCCCAAGCCTCTGAACCAAGCACCTTATTTAAAATGTTGGAAATGTGTTTAAAATGCATCGTTTATTAACACTGTTTCTTGTGTATTGCACTATATATATTCCATTTATTCTCCTGTTTCGTAACGTTGCTTTATTGCACAGACTGCATTTTATTGCAACATTTTAATTGTGAAACTCACCTTGAGTCAAGGTGATAAACTGGAAGCAAAGTAAATAAAGACGCTTGATGCTGCCGATCTGGCTGTCTGAGGCACAAATCAAGCAGAGGAGGGGGCTCCCAGGGGTACCACCACCACCATTCTGCAGCTCCCTTGACGAACAAGGCCTTTGCACCAGTGTTCCCTCTAAGCTGAGTCAGTGTGAGCTAGCTCACAGTTTTTTAGACTCCGGCTCACACATTTTTTGCCTTAGCTCAGGAAGGAGGGCTCCAGAGCAAACTAGTTTATGCAGAAGCCAAACCCCTCGCTCACAATTTTAACACCAGTAGCTCACAATATAGAATTTTTGCTCACAAGACTCCACAGCTTAGAGGGAACATTGCTTTGCACCAATCCTGTCTCTCTCTCATAACTACACATGACAGAACTCAGCTCCACAGAGACAGGAGAGAGAGAGTCAGAGACAGAGAGACAGAGACAGACAGACAGACAGACAGACACAGAGAGAGAGAGAGAGAGAGAACACCCAGCTGAGATTTGCAGAGCCAGCTTGTCTGCTCCGTCTTCCTAGAGAGGCCACAGGAGTTCTGCCTGACCAGCCCCAAGGCATTCTAGGTAACGGTCCCCCCCTTCTCACACTGACCAGGGTAAGTCCTCCAGAGGCCCCAATGGGCACAGAGATGCTGACGAACTTGGCGTCTGTCAGGAAGGTGTACCCGTTCCTCGCAACGGTGGCCGCATCAACCACACGCCCATCCAGGCCCATCTCGACGGCCTCGTCCCGATACAGGTCTGGGAACTTCACCAGAGACGGCATGATCCGTGGAGTCACCCAGCTCAGCGCTGAGGCCGTGAAGACCGGAGGGTCTGCGGGAGGAAAAGGACAGCCCAGGACATGTTCAGACCACGTATGGATGTCAGCTCTGCACTGGGGAATGCCTGGAGAATTTGGGAGTGGGTCTGGGGAAGGTCTGGTTTGGGGGAGGGGGAGGGACCGATGGAGTCATGTGCCGTGGAGCCTACCCCCCAAAACAGCCAGGAGAACTGACCTCTCTAGGCTGGAGATAACAGTTGTAAGACCAGATCTCTCGGCCCCATTTGGAGTTTGGCAACCCTAGTTCAGAGGCTACCTTCTCCCTTGAAGGTTCAGCTAGTTTCAATTGAAAGTTTGTTTCGTACAAAAATAAACTGAACTGGAGCACGTGAAGGGGAGGCGTGCTCTTACACGGGAGCAGAGCCACCATCCCATTCCAAACACCCAGAGAGAAATCCTGCCTTCCAGGGTCCTTCAGTGTACACACAGCTCTGTCCTGGCCCAGACCAGTGTTCCCTCTAAGCTGAGTTGGTGTGAGTTTGCTCACAATTTTTTAGCCTCCGGCTCAGACATTTTTTGTCTTAGCTCAGGAAGGAGGGCTCCAGAGCAAGCTAATTTATGCAGCAGCCAAATTGCCCGCTCACAGCTTTAATACCAGTAGCTCACAAAGTAGAATTTTTGCTCACAAGACTCCACAGCTTAGAGGAAACATCAAGGACTGCCAACAGCAGCTTCCCTGGTGATCTCCCAAGTCCTCAGCCAGGACCCTATCCTTGCAAGGGGACTGCCCATTCATTCAAGGCAAGGGATGCTCTGTATTCATGGTGCTTGGGGTGGGAGGGCTCCCAGTGTCCTGGCCCCACTGCTGGACTTCCTGATGGTACCCGGTATTTTTAGCCACTGTGTGACAGGGTGTTGGACTGGATGGGCCATTTGCCTGATCCAACACTGGCTTCTCTTATAGACTTCTGTTCTTATGCCCACAACCATTGAAGAAACGCAGGTACCAAACCCCCAACTCTCATCTGGAACCGCTATATGGAAGAGCCAAAACGCAACACCCATTCACAATAGGAGGCTATTCTACTCGATCCTGAAACAGGGACTCACTGATGGGGCAGGCGACGGCAGTGTCCACCATCAGGATCATCCAGGCCTGCTTGTAGAAGACGGTAGCTCGTGCAACCGCCACTTCCAGGCCCTGCACCTATCAAGGAAGCAAAGGTCGCTCCAGTACTCAGACTGAACCATTCAAGGGCAGGCGTACCACCTAGAACATTAACCCCAAGCTCCCAAGAGTGAGATACAGCATCACGGATTCAACTAGTTCTCCCGAGATCAAAGCTACCCAGGAGCCACCAAGACTCCTTCTACCCATCAGCCGTCCTTTAGGCAAACTAGGACAATTATGGAAAATGGCCACCACAAGAGGCGGAGCCAGCCACAAAATGGCTGTTGCAGGAGGTGGAGCCAATTACAATATGTCAGGGAGTGAGGTCATGCATAACTCTCACAGTAGCTCTTAAACAGAGCTTCTTCATGGAATGCTGAACAGGATGCCTTTTAGATTCAGGTGGGGTAGCCATGCCGGTCTGAAGCAGCAGAACAAAGTTTGAGTCCAGTGCCACTTTTAAGATCAACAAAGTTTTATTCATGTTGTAAGCTTTCATGTGCAAGCACACTTCCTCAGATACAGTGGAAGAGAATCTCCTGCAATCTGTTTCAGTGAATCTGAAGAAGGGTACATACTAATTCTCTCAGTTCTCGCTTGTAGGTGCCACTGGACTCAAACTTCATTCCCGCATCTGTTTGTTAACTCTTGTATTTTTACGCTAATTTACTGCCATTCACAGATCTTTCTTACATCCTGTCTCAGCTATAATCACCCAGTACTTCTGCATCTTGACTCTAAATGGCCCTTCCTGACAGAGCGAGCTCCCGTCTCTAGTTCCAGCTCCTGCCAACCTAGCAGTTCGAAAGCAAGAAATTGCAAGTAGATAAATAGGTACCACTTCGGTGGGAAGGGAACAGCGTTCCGTGCGCCTTGGTGTTTAGTCCTGCCGGCCACATGACCACGGAAACGTCTTCGGACAGCACTGGCTCTTCGGCTTGGAAACGGAGATGAGCACCGCAACCCTAGAGTTGGATTCAACTGGCTTTCGAGCAAGGGAACCTTTACCTTTACCTTTTACTTCTGCATCTTGACTCTAAATGGCCCTTCCTGACAACAACCCCTATAAGTAATGGTGGAGGAGGTTCTGTTCCACTGTATCTGAGGAAGTGTGCTTGCGGACGAAAGATCCTATCATGAATAAAACTTTGTTGGTCTTAAGGATGCCTTTTAAATACTGTTTTAAAATATTTTCTTGCGTATACAGACAGCTGACCTACAGAGACTCAGTGAAGGCCCTTGTGCTGTGGTGGCAGCTGGCTCCCAAAGCAATATTATTTTTTTAAAAATCAGCTCAGCTAATCAGATCGCCAGTGGCCAATCAGAAGCCCTCCTAGGCAAAGGCACCATCTGGCACCTCCCACTTTCAATAAATATTTGGCAGGCACAAGGAAAGACATCTGTAGGAACCATGAAGGGCACCATGTTGGAGACCCCCGATCTGGCACAAAGCATATCCTCCCCTTGGGGCACCTCCGGAGTCCGTTCCTTGTTCTACCAGCCACCAAGCCATGCTCCAGCCACCAGCTCTAGGCCATCAGTCCTGCCCGCCGCTTACCTTGGAGACCTCCGTCTGCTGCGTGCCGTAGGGTGTGCGGAAGAGGACACGGGTCGCTGTGGTGTTGACCCCGTAGCCCAAGGCGTGGGCCTCAGTGGCCATCATGTTCTGCAGGGAGCCGTTCTGGAAGCGGAAGACCACTTGCCATACTTGGTTCACAGCCCCCTGTGCCTGCAAAAGGACAGTGTGGTGTAGCGGTTAGAGTCTCGGGATTAATATCTGAAAGACCCCGGTTTGAATGCACCCTCTGCCACAGAAGCTCACTGGATGACCTCGGGCCAGTCACTCATACCCCCTAACCTACCACACCGGGTTGATATGAGGACAAAACGGACAAAAGGAAAATCACGTAAGCCGCTCGGGGTCCCCGCTGGGGAGAAAGGGTATACGTGAAGTAACCAAACACACATGCAACCAAACCACCCATTCCCTCAAGCACAACATTAAGACAGAGCGCCAGGGTAATAGTGGTTCATGTTTGAATATATAGACCTATGCAGACCAAGGCCTAAATTGCTGCTCGGGTAAGTCAAACAGAATAGGGGGCCAACGATAAAAACTTAATGTTTATAAGTATAAAAAGATACATGTATTTATTAACAAAGAATCTATATATCTAATAGCCAAGTTGCCCCCGGAGTGCGGATTGCTAAATCAGCGCTCCGGGGGCACTTGGGGGGAGGGGGAGGTTTGTGCACACGTGGGCCAGTCCCCACGTGTGCACAAAAATGCTAAAAGTAGAAACAAATTTCGGGGGGATGTTTAAATCCCCCCGAAAGTGCAAGAGCGTTCCGTGCGCATGCGCACGGAACGCTCTGTAGCTGACCTCGCCGCCGCTGTGCCGCCGCC